CGTTCTGTCCAATTAATAAATAAAAAAATCTTATTGATTTCTTGAACGTTTTAAACACTTTCTTGGTCCTTTTTTTGTATACGAGGCATATATACGTACACACCTATATGTGTTTATGTGTTAGTGATAAAAAAAAAAAAAAACCTCGGAAAAGTTGAAGTGTTTGAAGGTCCTTTTTTGACTAACCCACAAAAAACCTACGAATCGTCATCGTGCATTACACTCGGACATGTGTTCAAACTCGTTTATTTTTATAAGTCTCGCACAAATCAGAATCCCACAAACCAACATTTAAATAATTAATGTCCAACTAATCACATAATCTCAGAGGACACGTCCTGTTTCATCTACGGTCCGAATATTAACGCAAAGTATATATGGATCAGGTAGGTTAAATCCTCACATTAATTAATATTGATCTCATATCACTTTCACCATTGATATGATCTTATCGATTCATTTACAAGTTGAGATGAAGATTCATGTTCCCCAATGTATTAACAACTATTAACCTCTCCTCCAATTCTAATAAACTTATTAATCTATTTGTTCTTTCGGGTGTTTAGATGTTTGACTAGTTGAAGAAGCTTCCAAGGTGTATAATTTTTTATCGCTTATATATTTCTTACTTTGGTTAATTAACTATAAGATTTAACATTTTGCAATTGTGGCTTATTCTTACGGGTCTACGTGAGATTAATTGAAATAATGCGGGCGACCTAACATGCACGTCGGATTTTAGACTTATAAATGAGAAGTCATGTTTTATTATCTTAACCCTCTTGATATTCTATACGTCATATTATCCATAACTCGATTCCGTGAATTTGATTACCACATATATTTCAATAGTATTAACATATACTTTTATAAATTAATTTAGTGAATTTAAATTGTTCGATGAAAATATGGAATTATATAAACACTTGTTTGTTTTTAGTTTTTAAGTGATGTGAACATTTCTCAAAAATAGTTATTGATATTTGCGTGTACTATATATATAGTGCACTTTTTTTTTATATAACAATCAGAGCCATGCCTCAATGTATATATTTGAAACATTTGCTTAGGGCATCAATTTTTTTTTGGAAAAATGGAAAGGGCATATTTTTACTAGTTTCATTTAGTTAAAAATTATAGAAACATAGATTTAAACACTGAAAATTTTGTGACAGTTAAAATCAACAAAACATTGGCCTACATGATAAAAAAAAGTAAAAACTATTGGCTTCTAATGGTTAAGTAACTAAAAATTTATAAACAAATTTTAATTGTATTTTTAAAGAATTAGAGTAAAGTAAACGTCGAATTAGTTTGTTACATAAAAGATTGAGTGATTTGACAATCTTATTTTTATTCGAGTATATCATGAAAATTTTAATTATTTTCCATCAAAAAAATTTAGTTAAAAGCTTTAATTTTGAAAATTTGATTAGCAATTTTGTTGAACAAAAAGAAAATAAAATATAACTAATATTTTAATTGCTATTTTAGGTTGTGTATTTGTATCTTTATATGACAATGAAAATTATTATTGTATATATATATATTTTTTATATGAACTAAGGTATTTTATCGCTTCGGGCATGCGTCAACGTTGGCACGGCTATAATAACAATACATATATATAGTGCACTTTACATTATGGTTGTAGTAGAAACTTAGGTTAACATAAAGTGCAACTGGCTAGAGATCTAATTAAGCAGAACAAAATTAGGTTAAATGCATCATTCATCAAATGTCACTAAATTTTAATTGTTTACCGTATATTTTTTTTTGTTAAAGAATTGATTACCGTATATATTAAGGAAAAAGAGTTTCCGTAGACTAAACTAAAAGAAAAAGTTGAAAGCTTATAAGCGTCCCATCTTCTTAGAGTAGTGAATATAAAGAATGAAATAAACTTTTACACATTAATTTCTTGACAGAAAAGATAAATTCATACATATTTAAAAATGTTAATTACACTACAGTCATTTTATCGAAGATTAGTTATATACTATTAATTTGAAACAAAGCAATACATATACATTTGTTTAGGAATCATCTATTATCTACATTTGTTTTTTATACGAGGGTTTAATAATACAATGCCTCCATGTGTAACAGTGTAAAAATAAAAAAGAATTAGATACTATGACTTTGATCACCCGTTATCTTAAAAAAGTGTATTAGTTTACTTTTCACTGGACATTTTTCGAGGTAGAGGATTAAGACATCTATAATTATATATATTAGATTATTGATAAAAATATTTGTTCCTCTTTGTTTCTTGATTAAAGTGCATATTGTATGTAAGCTATATATTAGTTTTTTTGTAAGCTATATATTGGTTTAAAAGTGGATTACTGGATCAAAGTAGAATGACAAAAAGTTTTCTGATGAAAAGATGACAAAAAGTTTTCTGATAAAAAGTTGCATCAGCTAAGATAATTTTTATTTATCAACAATTACATATTAGTCAAATCTAGAAATATAAACTGCTCGTGGAAAATCTAAATGACCTAAGCCAAATCAATATATAAAGCAATTTAATTCACCCCTATCTCCCCCAAAATACTGTAATAAAAATGACTTTTTCAATATACATTGACATATAATATTTAAGGAAAAAATTGCTCGAAAGGTTTAAATTACGCTTCAATTTCCATTTAGCTTGAATCTATCTAATCATTCTTATTTGGCAAGTCAAAATGGTGCGCTTCAAGTCCACTAAAAAAGCTAGCGAGTGGATTACTCAACTGCTACATTCACCATGGAAAGATTAATCGAATTGTAAAAATCTGGATCTCTCTTGATTCTAAAAAAAAAAAAAAATTAACATATGGAGAGACTATAAATTGCTCCAGCAATGATAACAGGTTCGTGATTATATCACAAACTTCAGTCAGTTTAACCGCATTTACGTTCTAATTTTTGTCACACGATAAAACAAATTATGTAACGTAATTCTGAATTGCTAACTCGAGTTTTCTTTTACCATTAATTGGAGTTTATATTAGTTCTTTTGGTACAAAATTCTCTTAGAAGAAACATTTATTAAAAAAACATAGTGCCTATGGAAATGGTAGGCTAAATAAGCTTTTACACTAAGGCATCAAATGGTAACAAATAAAACCAATTCATCTACATTCGGCTAGATTCAACAGTTCCCCAAACACCATTTGATATTTTAAAAAATTTCACCAGATTCAACAACTTAACAAAAAAAG